TCGGTGGTTCTGGTTGGTTCTGGTTGTTTCTGGTGGGTGGTTCTGGTTGGTTCTGGTTGGTTCTAGTCGGTGGTTCTGGTTGGTTCTGGTTGGTTCTAATCGGTGGTTCTGGTTGGTTCTGGTCGGTTCTGGTCGGTGGTTCTGGTTGGTTCTGGTCGGTTCTGGTTGGTTCTGGTTGGTTCTAGTCGGTGGTTCTGGTCGGTTCTGGTCGGTGGTTCTGGTTGGTTCTGGTTGATTCTGGTTGGTTCTGGTTGGTTCTAGTCAGTGGTACCGGTCGGTTCTGGTTGGTTCTGGTTGGTTCTGGTTGGTTCTAGTCGGTTCTGGTTGGTTCTGGCCGGTGGTTCTGGTTGGTTCTGGTCGGTTCTGGTCGGTGGTTCTGGTTGGTTCTGGTTGGTTCTAGTCGGTGGTTCTGGTTGGTTCTGGTTGGTTCTAATCGGTGGTTCTGGTTGGTTCTGGTCGGTTCTGGTTGGTTCTGGTCGGTTCTGGTCGGTGGTTCTGGTTGGTTCTGGTTGGTTCTGGTCGGTTCTGGTCGGCGGTCTCACCTGCAGTCGTCTCCTCCGGTGCTGACCACATGCTTGTCGTCGTGGGAGAACCGGATGTTGGTGACGTGAGGCGAGTGTCCGAGGAAACGCTTGTGTTTGGCCTGAAGTCAGAACAGAACCAGAACCGGGCCAAAATCAAGAGGACAGAAACATTTACAAGTTTTATAGAAATGTATTTCTTTACTTGGAATCTGTCAGCATGAAAGGATGGAAATAAGATTCAGTGTAAAAATCCAGGAGATGTTTCATTCATAACGACCTGCATTGATAATGTTTCTGTTTGGCAGCTAACGACTGTCATGCTAACGATGTTCCTCCACTATTATTACATTAACATCACTGCATGAAGCCGAGTCGGATCTTCAGTCTTATTTAAAGAATGAATTCATTTCCTCGGCAGTTCAGTCGAATTTTACTAAATAAGCCTAGAAAATATTTAACTGTAAGGTTGAATTCCTGGAAGCTGAAGAGAAGTTTTCTGTTTATTCTGAACTCCTCATTTATTATTTTAAACTTTATCAGGCAGGAACTAACAGACAGTACCTGGGTAACTTTGATGCAAATGACCTTTGACCTGAGCAGTTATCTCTAGATATTCATATCAGATCTACTTTCTTCATATTTTTGGTGTGAAAATGTCGATATAAACATCTGGAAATGTTTTACTTGATTTAATCAGAAAGTTTCCAGTGAGTTTTAAAAATCTTTTAACGGGAAACCTGATGATGATGATGATGATGATGATGATGATGATGAACAGAAACTCACAAACTTGTCGCTGCAGGGGAAATCGAACAGTCGGACCAATCCCAGGTCGTCTCCGCTGACCACGTTCAGGCCGGCGTGGGAAACGCACGCACAGATCACATCGGCTCTGTCTGCGCTTCGAGGCCAGATCCCCAGGACTTCATCTCCCAGAATGCTGTTGGAGAGACGAACGGAGAGCAGCTCAGAGCGGCGGCAGCTACCGGCGGTTCGGGTCGGGTCAAAGGTTACCTGGTCCACGTCGCCCAGGTGATTCTGTCCACGGCGCTCTGGTCACTCAGCAGCTTCCCTGAAGGAACCTCAAACACCAGCCGGCGGTACGCTCCGGTGGACACCTGAAGGCACCGCAGAGCGTCAGGACGGACCGGGACGAGCAGAACCGCTGGACCGGGAACCGCTGGACCGGGTCCAGGGAGCAGAACCGCTGGAACGGGTCCAGAGAGCAGAACCGCTGGACCAGGAACCGCTGGACCGGGTCCAGGGAGCAGAACCGCTGGACCGGGAACCGCTGGACCGGGTCCAGGGAGCAGAACCGCTGGACCGGGTCCAGAGAGCAGAACCGCTGGACCAGGTCCAGGGAGCAGAACCGCTGGACCGGCTCCAGGGAGCAGAACCTATGGGCCGGGTCCAGAGAGCAGAACCTGACAGGGCCCAGCAGGCCTCTGCAGAGGTTCTTACTGCTCAGCCGTTTGGTGAGTTTGGATCAAACCCGACCCGTCTGCAGGGTTCTGCTGGTACCTGGATGTAAAACCCGACCCGTCTGCAGGGTTCTGCTGGTACCTGGATGTAGCCGCTGTCCGCTGAGAAGTCCAGCTGCAGGATGAAAGCAGGAATGTCGCTGCAGTATCCCAGCCGGGTCAGAACCGGTCCACCACTCATGTCGTAAACGTCCACCGTGTTCTCCACCGACCCGACGGCCAGCAGGCGGCGGTCCGGGCTGAAGCTGGAACCAGAACACAGGCCTGAAGTCAGAACAGAACCAGAACCAGGTTCTTCTCCCGGACTTCAAGAACCAGGAAACATTTGGGCTCCGAGGCGTTTAGCTTCACCTGAATCATTAAAACTCAGTCAGACCCGACTGGTTCTGACCGGACCTGACTGGTTCTGACTGGTTCTAACTGGACCTGACTGGTTCTAACTGGTTCTGACTGGTTCTGACTGGTTCTGACTGGTCCTAACTGGTTCTAACTGGTTCTAACTGGTCCTGACTAGTTCTGACTGGACCTGACTGGTCCTAACTGGACCTGACAGGTTCTGACTGGTTCTAACTGGACCCGACTGGTTCTGACTGGTTCTAACTGGTTCTGACTGGTTCTGACTGGTTCTAACTGGTTCTGACTGGTTCTAACTGGTTCTGACTGGTCCTGACTGGTTCTGACTGGTTCTAACTGGTCCTGACTGGTTCTGACTGGTTCTGACTGGTCCTAACTGGACCTGACTGGTTCTGACTGGTTCTGACTGGTTCTAACTGGTTCTGACTGGTTCTAACTGGTTCTGACTGGTCCTGACTGGTTCTGACTGGTTCTAACTGGTCCTGACTGGTTCTGACCGGACCTCGTACCGGATGTCCTGCAGGCCGGCGCTGCGGTCCCGTTTCTTGGTCCAGATCTTCAGGGAGTTGGCGAGGAGGAGGAGGAACTCTCCGTTCTTCATCCCGACGGCCAGCATCTCTCCGTCGGAGCTGAAGCTCACGCAGCGAGCGGCGTGGCCGACGCACACCTTGTTCAGGAGTTTCTGACAACAGATCTGGACGTCAGCCACATGCTGGACTGTCGTTTCGTTATGGAGCTACAGAATGATCCATGTTTTATAAACTGTATTTTAGAGGCATAAGATCGACTTCATAAGCTCCGATAAGCTCAGGGATGCAGACCGGATGTAAGGCTTCATCATGGCGGTGCGTCACCTTGTCGCTCAGGTCCCACAGCCTGATGGTGGCGTCGTCGCTGGCGGTGACGCAGAGCTCTTTGACCGGGTGGGCAGCCAGACCCCAGATGCCGCCGCGGCCGTGGCTGTCCAGCAGCAGGTTGGACGCCGCGTTCTTCTCCCCGACCTCCAGGATCTCCCCGTCCTTCGTTCCCACCAGGATCTTCCCCTGAGGAAGAGGAGCTGGTGAGGAAGCAGCAGGAGGAAGAGGATGGAGGATGGAGGGGAACGTGAGTCGGACCTTTCCTCTGCAGACGGATCGGACGCACTCCACCTGCTGACCCGTCTCCAGCTGGAAGGCCCGGCAGCGCTTCATCTCCTGGTCCCACAGCTTCACGGCTCCGCCCTCTTTGGTCCTGATGGACGAATCCAGAGCAACGATTCAGATACAGACAACAACTGAAACATCCACCAGGTGAAGGTTTTACACTCTTCTCCTTCCACAGGGATGAAAACAGGAGTTTTCAGGATAATAGAATCATGTTTCATTCACCAAGAACCTGAAAAGACCTGATCCTGATGGACTAAATGTGTCATTAAAGGGACAGTACCACGTAGTTTCCAAAAACATAGTGCAATTTTATGACACAATCATGTGTCATGCTATATGTGTCAAATATGACTTAAAAGAAATGTGACTACACAATATAGCGGTTTGAAATTGGGCCTCTGTCTCTTTAAGAAGCTCCTGCTCTCTGAAGCTCCGCCTCCAGGAAGTCGTCCCAACATGGCTCCTCTATCAACCCTTTAATGTTTTCACCAGCAGCTCCTATAATGAGATCAGCAGCTGTTTGCTAATTGCTGCTGGCTAGTCTGAAGGAGCTGGGGAAGCGGTAGCTTGGAAACTGCAGCTGTGAGGTGGAGCTGTGTCCTCGGAGGCGGGGCTAGGTCCACCCAGGCGTTTTGCAGCTGAATGGTTGCCATGGAGATTCAAGGATTGGGGAAACACTTTATAACATTATGTAACACTCAAAAAGGCTGAATTTATATTATACTGCCCATTTAACAGAAGAAGCTCTTTAGTTCTCAGCAGAACCTTTTAAACAAACTTTAGTTCTAAAGCAGGCCCGTTTGGGTCCCGGTTCCTCTCTCGTGAGGCTAAAGCAGTAGTGTATGGAGCTTCACTCACGGCCGCTCCTTCCCTCCGGTGACGATGAGTCCGTCTCGCAGCGTGGTGTACATGGTGAACACCGGCCCCGTGTGGGCCTTCGCCACCAGCCTCAGCAGGAAGTGATGTCGCCACACGTACACGTCGCCGTTGATGGCGCCGGTAAACGTCAGGTTGTTCTGGGAATAAACCCTGAGGTCAGTCTGTTTACCTGCTGCTCAGGTGGGTTAATAATGAGCTGATCTAAGGTTTCTGAATCACAGCCACCTGCAGAGACACCAGGAAAACCTGGACCGGATTTAAGAACAGCAGAGAACTCACAGCACCGAAGGCCACAGAGAGCATGGTCTGCATCCGGCCATCCTCCACCGACCCCACCACTCCTTTCTTATACATCAGCGCGCCGCCAGCCAGAGTCCAGAACTTCACATGTTTGATTCCCACAGAAACAAACTGGGAGTCTGAGTCCGGCCGGAACTCCACCACGAAGATCCGGTCCGGATGTCCGGCTTTACTGCAAACCCGGGATCCTGAAAGAGAAACGGGTTCTGGTTTCTATTGACAGAGAAACGGGTTCCGGTTTCTACCGACTGAGAAACGGGTTCTGGTTTCTACCGACTGAGAAACGGGTTCTGGTTTCTACCGACGGGTAACTCAGAGACGGTGCGACAGAATGAAATATAAGGAAACACAGGAATAAATACTGCACAACTTGATATTTTTAAACATGGATTTGATACTTTAACCTGTCAGATTTACAGATTCTCTTATTTTTCACTATTATTTTAACAAATTAACATCAGTGGTTAAACATCCAAAACGAAATGTTCAGTTTTAGTTTTGATGTTTTTGTTCTAATTTTAGTTAAATGTTTATTAACTTGATCTAAGCAAACAGATTTTTTCTTATTTTTTTAATTAATTTTTTTACAGAATTTATTAATATAAATAACACAATAGGTTTTTCTGTTGAAACATAGAAAAAACAGTTTATTCAAAATTAAAAATGAAGAGAATCAAAATGTGTAACAAGAATATATTTAGTCATATTTCTACATTTCTTTTTTTATACATTTATTGTTTTTAGAAATTATCATTTAATTCTGTAGGTAAAATTTTAAATTAATCTAAAATTAATTTAAAATTTTTATTAGTAAACATGTTTGCTGAGTTTTTACAAAGAAAATATTTAAAAAGTAAAGTGAAGCTGATCCAGATGAGCCTTCGATTCTCCCAGTGTGTTACTGGTTTTCCTCCCTGTTTACTGGTGAACTGGTCCAGACCTTCCTGCCAGCGCCACACGGTGATGGTGTGTTCAGGTTCGACTCCGACAGACAGCAGCAGCTTCCCGGTGGCGCTGAAGTTCACGTATCCGACTCCTTTGGCGTGGCTGGAGCGCAGGACGGACAGCGTCTGTTTGCTCATGGCGTCCCAGACGTGGATGGACGGATTCGTACCTGCATGCGGGAAAACACACAGGAAGTGATGTCACACATAAACAAGGTCAGCAGGTCAAACAGCAGCAGCAAAGATTCAGAGCAAACCAAGCAGGATGAGAATGAGAGCAGCCGACAAACATCCTGAAACCAGAACCAGAACCAGCAGAACACAGAGTCCAAATCCCTCAAACATGATGAAAGTTCGTTCATCTTCTAAAAATACAAACAGTTAATGTTAAATTAAGATTAAATGATGGAATATTCCCAGTCAGAGTTCAGATTATAATCCCTCAGCAGGTCTCCTCTGGACTTCAGGCTGTTTGCTGAGATGAGTCGGCGGCAGGTTGGTGAATAATTTACCTGGGATTTCACCGACGTCACCTGACGAGTTGTGATGCGATGAGGCAAATAAGGCCAGCAAAAAACACATAAACACATAAACACATAAACAAAAACAATAAAAACATGCTGAGTTGATTTAAGAGGACTAGAAACATGAAACAGAAAGAACGCTCCAGTTTGCAGTTTCCAATCCTGCTGCTCTTCCTGTCCAACATTTTCACTGATCCAGTTTCCTAGACGATGATACAAAACGACCAGCAGTTACAGATCCATGTTCTTCCTCTGAATCTGTGAAACCATTTCTGACTGTCAGCCTCTTCACTTTTCTAATAATCAATAGGAGGTTTTTAGAAAACAATAAGTTTAGTTTCCAGCTGAGCCGAGTGGCACTGAGGAGCGTTCACAAAAACTATTTACAGTTTAAAGCAGTGTTGATAAATTGATAAATGTTGATAAATGCTGTAACGGCATCTGTTGCAGTAACACTGATAAAAATAAAGTTATTAGTGTGGCTTTCATAATGTGTCTGATGTTCACTGCTGGTTTAACTTTCTGATCACAACTCACACCAGCTTCCTGTGCAGATCCTTCACCAAACAGGGATAATTTACTAACTACAGAATCTAACCTTGTGGTTTCAGCAGGAATATAAAGTTGCCTCCAATTTAAATCTAAATGGAAACATCAGTTTCAACTGAACCATGAATAATAATATCTGCAAATCACAGGAAAACTTCTAACAGCAAATATTTCTTTATTTTCTTCATCTGAACAAAAGTTTGAAACATTTTAAAGTTATTTTCCACTCACTCTGCTTGCACACTTAGAATAGAGCTCAAAGTTTTTCACTTGTTCTTTGCTTCTTTATTTTGTCAGCAGAAATAAAACAGGAAGTAAAAACAGGAAGTAAAAGCAGGAGCAGTTCAGTAGAGATGAGTCAGCAGAGGAACACAGAGCCATGCCGGAGAGAGCAGGTGAGGCGCAGCGTACCGATCTGTCCGCTGGCGATGATGTTCTTGTATTTGGGATGCTGGTTGACGGTCAGACACAGGATGTCGTCGGTGTGCTCCAGGTAGAAACTCTGAGTTCCTGCAGGGCAGAAAGGACTTCAGACCTTCTGTGGTTATAAAACTTTATCTGTTCTGTTGTTTTTCTAGATCTGATCCTGTGCTGCCCGGCGTTTCCCAGCCCGACTGCGTCGTACCGGCGCTCAGGCTGTGAACGATGGCCGTGGCGGCCGTGTGGTAGACGATGTCTGAGCCGTCGTTCAGGTAGTGCAGGTTGTTCCGGCAGTCGAAGCCTCTGAAGCCAAAGACGTGATCCAGAACCAGGTCCTACAACAGAGAGGAAGACGAGGGTAAAGACGATGAAGGTGGGGGTAAAGACGATGAAGACGAGGGTAAAGACGATGAAGATGGGGTAAAGATGATGAAGATGAGGGTAAAGACGATGAAGACGGGGGTAAAGACGATGAAGATGGGGTAAAGATGATGAAGGTGAGGGTAAAGACGATGAAGATGAGGGTAAAGACGATGAAGATGAGGGTAAAGACGATGAAGATGAGGATAAACGTGATGAAGATAAAGGTAAAGACGATGAAGATGAGGGTAAACGTGATGAAGACGAGGATAAACGTGATGAAGATAAGGGTAAAAATGATGAAGATGAGGGTAAACGTGATGAAGATGAGGGTAAACGTGATGAAGA